AGATACAGACGAGGCGAAGAGGCTGGAGGCGGCGGATGAGACGGAGAATGCGGATAAGGCACCAGGAGACACCAGGAGACCCCAAGAGGCACCAGGAGGCCCCAGAAGGCACAGGAAACCCAAGGAGGAGGCTCAGGAGGCCCCAGGAGACTCCAGGGGGCTCCAGGAGGCCACCAGGAGGCAACCAGAAGCGCTAGGATGCCACAAAAAGCAAGGAAACCCTAGGAGGCCCCAGGACGCACCAGGATACCACATCTGTCCCCAGGAGGCATCGGACGGCACCAGGAGGCCCACAGGAGGCGCCAAGAGGCCCCAGGAAGACCCAGGACCAGGAGGCCTCCAGGCGGCCCCATGAGGCCCCAGGAGGCTCCAGGAGGCCCCAGGAGGCTTCAGGAGAGAGACGCCAGGCAGCCCAGGAGGCACCCAGGAGGCACACAGACATTACGAGGGCCCAGGAGGCACCCTTTCGGCTGGCCCGCGCACTGGCTCGTCTCGGCAGGGCGGGGAGGAGGAGGAGGAAGAGGGGGACGAGGAGGAGGAAGAGGAGGAAGAGGAGGACGAGGAGGAGGAGGAGGAGGAAGAGGAGGAGGAGGAGGAAGAAGAGGATGAGGGAAGATGAGGAGGAGGGGGATGAGGAGGAAGAGGAGGACGAGGAAGAAAAGGAGGAAGAGGAAGAGGATTCGGGTAAGGAGGGAGGGGGCGGGTGAGGAGGAAGGCCAGGAGGAGGGGGGAAGACAAAGAGACCGAGGAGGACGACGACGAGGAGGACGAGGAGGAGGACGAGGAGGAGGAGGACCTTTTTTCGATATGTCTGCATGTCTGCCTATATATCTGGCAGTATGTATCACAATGTATATAGGTGTTGGGGTACCGATGTATATATGTATATGTCCGTCTGTCTATGTGGCTGTATCTCATGTTTGTCTGTCTATATAGATGGCTGTCTATCTGTACATCGGTCTATAAATCTGTCTGTCTATGCATATGTCTGCATGTGTTCATATATGCCTAGTTGTATGTCTATATATCCGTCTACATATGTGGTTGTCTATCTCTAGGTATGTGTACCTGTTTGTCTGGCTAGCTAAATGTCTATATATGTACATATGTCCATCTGTATTTCTATATAGAACTGTGCCTATATGCATGCTTAAATGTCCGTGTGCGAGTATGTGTCAAGTGTGCGTGTGTGTGATAATGACAATGTTGATAATGATGTTGTGATAGTGGTGGTGATGCTGGATGGTGAGCCATAGCTGTGACAAAACATGTGGGAAGGAGTGGTTGTTCCATCCTGTTCCTGCGCGGGGCGTCCAGAGAAAACAAGAATCCGACTCCTGATGTGGGGCATGGTACTAGAAGTAGTAGTGGTAGTAGTACGAATAGAAGTAGTAACGGTAGTAGTAGTAGTAGTAGTAGTAGTAGTAGTAGTAGCAGCAGCAGTAGTAGTAGTAGTAGTAGTAATAGTAGTAGTAGTAGTAGTAGTAGATGAGTAAAGTAAAAAGAGGAAGACAGAGTAGTAGTATCAGTAGTAAACTATACACTAGTAGTAGTAGAAGTACTAGTAGTAGTAGTAGTAGTAGTAGTAGTAGTAGTAGTAGTAGTAGTAGTAGTAGTAGTAGTAGTAGTAGTACTAGTAGTAGTAGTAGTAGCAGTGGTAGTAGGCGTTGAATGAAACGAAGACATCGTAGTTGCAGTAGTCGTAGTAGTGGTCGTAGTAGTAGTGGCCGTAGCAGAGGTGGAAATAGTA